TGAACCATTAAATTTTAAAAATTATAGGTCCAAAATATATAATACTACTAGTTTTAAATTTTAATATACACATTTGATTTAATTATATAAAAAAATAAAATTAGTGCTAAATTTTTTAAAGAATTTTCAATGTAACACACTTGAAAATTTTGAAAGATTTAAGAAAAAAACAAAAGAAAAATTAGTTGAAACGTTAAAAGTGTAACCGATAACCACTTAGAGAGGTGTTACTAAAAAACAGAAGATAGATATAAAATTTAAATTTCTGAGCTCACTCAGAGAGATGCACCCTATTATCATCATATTATATGATACTTTGAACGTGAGTTCACATATTCATATTTAAATATTTTTTTAACATATAACACTACTATATATGATCTAGAGAGGGGAGCATGGGTTCACGTGAACCCACTGCACCCCTCTAGATCATATATAGTAGTGTTATATTTATGTTAAAAAAATATTTAAATATGAACATGTGAACCCACGTTCAAACTAACTAGTTTGCAGAACTCATATCTAGTATTTTGTATATTACATCATCACTATCAGATTCTCAATCTACATTCCAAACAATCAAAGTAAAAATAGAACCTATCAAATGCCAAAATTACTGAGAGTTTTCTTACTTCCAGCAAGACAGAAGGCCAATATTGTTTTTTTTTTAATTCTAGCCAATTCATAATTTTACCTATCAAGCCAACTATGAAATTTAAGTTAATAGCACCAGGAAATTAATATGAGAAGTGACTCGAAAATGTAAAGAAAGTGAACTCTAAGGCTCGAAACTGGAAAAGAAAGTGAACTCTTTGGACTACAACTAAACTATAACATGCAACATCAAACAATAACAACAAATCTCTACAGAATAAGATAGAGCTATAACAAAAATTAAAACCCCTAACAAATCTCTACAAAATTGTACAGAAATACAACAAAAAGTAAAACCCCAAACAAATCTCTACAGAATAATACATAAATATAACAACAATTAAAAGCCCTAACAAATTTCTACAGAATAATACAAAAATATAACAACAATTAAAAGCCCTAACAAATCTCTATAGAATTGTAGAGAAATATAACAACAATTAAAAGCCCTAACAAATCTCTCTACAAACTCAAACATGCATGACCCAAACAAATCTCTACAAACTCAAACAAATAGATGATAAATAGATTCAGAAAAAATGTCAAATTCACTCAAAAAACTTACAATTGGTTGAGGTTTGAGAGCTTACATTGAAAATTTATAGTGAATTGAGTGTTATTTAAAGTGAATTGAGAGCTTACCGTGATTTGAGCTTGATTTATTGAGTGATTGAGAGCTCAATATTCTTCATCCTACCAATTAGCAATTGAGCGATTTAAGAGTGACTTTCTTTCTTTGAAGTAAGGAAGTGAGGAAGTAAATAAGGAATTAAGGAAATAAGAATAAAATAATTTGAGTAATTAGCAATTTAAATGGCTGTTAGCGCCCAAATTAGGCAAATTGTTTTTTTTTGCATTTGAGTAATAACTATTTAATATTCTAATAGTTTATAATTATTAAGGAAAGGAGAATAATAATTAAATATACTAAAATAGATGAGAAAATTTAAGGAAAAGATGGTAATAAATATAGTTGGACAAATTATACTACTTTAATGAATAAATGAGTAAATCAAAGGATATAATAATTTTGTTGGATAAATTTTAAATTTTTAAAAATATTAGTGGCGGTTCAAACCGTCGTAATTTAAGTCTGGACGGTCGCTACTAAAATATTTAAAATGACGTATTATAAATCGTCGTATTATTTTATATTTGTGGTGGTTCTTGAAAACCGCCATAATTAAACCGCCGCAATATTTTAGTTTTTTTGTAGTGAGATACGCCCCTGTATGTATGTGTTTGGAGTGAAATTCTGCATGTATCGATCTAGGATACCAGATACATGGGAGAGTGGCAAGCGAGATGGGACAAAGATGAGCGAGATTTGTTATGTATCCCGGATACATGTGAATCCATTTGGATATAATGTTTTTAGAACAAATTACACCTAAATTTGACCCCATGTATCCGATATACATGTATCTAGACGTTTCTAGAAGCACTAAAACTAGTAAGATATGTAATATTATAAACTAAAGTGTATCTAAGTAATTAGATCCTAAACGGATGGAATTTATGTAAGTTCTCAAAAAAATAATCACCAATCCAACATCAACAAACTGTTTCCTATATAAATATCTTCGATCATAAGTAGTAACAGTCTCAAATTCATTAATGTTGGCCACGGCCCACGGGCCTTGGCCCAAGTGTTTCGACTGGAGAAACTGGGCTTAATCGTAAGGGGGATGGGTCCAGTTGGTTGAACAAAGACATTCTAATCCAATAAAAAACATACAACTGAAAAATGCAACACTTATACAGTAAATTTTAGGTTTAGCAAACATAAAAATCATATTAGCGCTCTATAGCTATAATTTTGCTATTTGCGCTCCATAGATCACATGTAGGCAACTCGTTTGTATAAAAGGTGTAGCGATTGTATATGTATATCGGTCAGATAATTGTATACATGTAACTACTATGTATATGTATCAATAATTGTGTTTGTATATCTGCATAAAATTTGAATTTGTATACAATTGAATCGAATTAAAACATTTGTATATTAAATCTCTCTCTCGCTTTATACAACACAAATTATACATTGTATTTTGTATAATTTGTGTTTGTATAAAGCGAGAAAGAGAGAAAGACAAAAGAGAACTGGGCAGAGGAAGATTTGTATTGTATAATTATAAGTGTATATGACGAAGATATATGTATTTGTATTTGTATATACAGTTTTCTCTCGCTTTATACAAACACAAACACAATTTATACATTTGTGTTTGTGTAAAGTGAGAGAGGCGAGGGAGATTTATGGGGAGAGAGACGAATGACAAAGTGTTTGCTACGGATTAGAATTAAATGAAAGTGTGGTTATAACATTTATTTTGAATTAATAGTTGCTATTTTATACAATTTTCCCATACTTATATTCAATGTTGTCTAGATTAATTTGTGCAAAATATTTACAAATTATATGAGTAGTGTATATTTTATACTATATATTGATTGTGTATATATTACATACAATTTAGTTGTATTGTTAAATTAGTTTGCCTAAAGGTATATATCTTTAACGTTCCCTATTATATTAACATTTTATGAGTTTGTAGCAAGTACGAGCTTGAACTATAGCCCTATCTCGCTAAAATATATAAAAAAATAATCAAGGTCATTTAACTTCATATATATATATATATATATATATATATATAGTCTAGACTCTTTATTATTGGGGAATATGCACAGATACCCACTTGGAGCATGATATTTAAACAAATAACTGAAAATTATAAAATATTTAGTATATAGTTTTCTCAAAATCAACATCAGACGTATAAAATTAAAAATAAAAGTCAGATTTGAAGGTGGCTTAGGCATTTGAATTTTGACATTAGTACATTTAGTACGTTTCAACATCATCCCATCTTTGATAATATCATAAACATAAATATACATTTTTCATGATTTCACTTAGAATTTCGATCTCATTATATTTAAATTGCTAAATTCTAATAGATTAAAGTCAATCGTTTTGATAACACTTGAAAGTAGAATTCATGAACCTAAGAACTTCAATTTTATTATGCTTGAATTGTTAAATTCTAATAGATTAAAGTTAATCATTTTGATAACACTTGGAAGTAGAATTAATTCACGAGTTCATGAATCTAATCCTAATGCAAATAATACTTTGAAATAATTACTTTAAAAATGAAACTTTAGTTAGTATCTAGAAGCACTTCTACAACTTTCTCTCTTCCCTAGCGTTTTTTTTTTTTTACTTTTTTCAAAGGGCAATGAAGGCCTTCCTTATAAGTTCTCGCTCGATTGAAAGGATATATAATTCAAATAATACACATCAAACGAGCTATTGGTTGCAAATTCTACTCTATTCTCCCAGGGAAAAGAACACAGGAACATGCCAATTATTTATTGGGAAAACAACATAAGTGTCACTAATTTATGACTTAATTACATGCGTCTCATTATATATTCAAAATTATCATTTGTGCAAGATCAATCCCCAAATGCATGTATCTGGCGTATCCAAATACATGTATCTCGTATACACGGACAAACTAAACATACGAAATCAATTAACTTATCATTATTGAAAAATTCCATTATTTTTTTGAGAAAATATCCTATTCATAATAGCTATTTATATGGGATAAAAATTTAGGTGTAATTTGTTCTTGATATACTGTATTCAAGCAGAGTCGCATGTATCTTGGATACACTGACTCTCTCGCTTGCCTCTCTCCCTATGTATTTATATTTCAGAATGTATCTAGTAGCAAAACTACATATATCTAGATGCATTCGACTTAAAATCTGATAAGGTCAAAAGTGGATACATTCTTTTATGGGATAAGGGTTTGAAAAATACCCAACTTTGGTCGGATTTGCTGTTGCGATACTAAACTTTCATAAGGACCTATTACCCCGCTAGACTATTTAATACCGTAGTTTTTACCCTCGGAACTATTTAATAGTGTATTTTAAAGGTATATATGTGCCCACGTGGACACATTACTATTTATAATTTTACATTATTTTTTATGTCCACGTGGGCAAATATATATGTTTAAAATATGGTATTAAATAGTCTAGGGAGGTAATAGGTCCTCATGAAAGTTTAGTATTGCAACAGTAAATCCGACCAAAATTGGGGTATTTTTCAAACCCTTATCCCCTCTTTTATCTTTTGTTACTTCTAATTAGGTCAAAATTTAAACATCTATTTTAATTTTTTAATTAAAGAAATTATACCTATATATCTCAAGGACCAAACTTCTTATACGTATTTATTTTGAGAGGCTCAAGAAATCGGCTCTCCTCTTGTTGTACAAATAGTGTGAGCTCACAAGATTTCACTCTTTTTCTCTTTGTCTTCTTTATTTATGTCTCAACCCAACAAGCGATCTTCTTCCCTCAGTACACCACCACCATCTCCTCTTTCCCGTTCAATGAAGAAGGCCAAGTCTCAGGCCGCAGCTACTGATGACAACAAGAATGGCCAGCAGCAGCACAACGTCGAATCCACAGACGAACCTTGTGTGTCCATGATCCAATATTCGGGTGGTGGAGTCACTTCCAATTTGTCTCGAAAGAAAGCTACCCCTCCCCAGCCTCCTAAGAAGCAGCTCGTCATTAAGCTTAACAAAGGTATTCTCACTTCTTCCACTCATTTTTTGTGTTACTGTTTATTTTTGCTTTCCTCCCGTACGTTTGGGGGTTTTTCGAAATGATTTGAATTTGCATGACCTAGATTGAAGCTTTAATTTTGTAATTTGGGTTCGGAGAGTTGATAGGGTAGTTTGGAGGTTTATAATTGAATTAATGAGTGCTGAATTTGGGGGATTTGGAATGGATTTTGAAAATTTCCCCTCGCTGGACTGAAGAATTTGAGCTTTTCTGGTGTGTGTGGTTTGTCGTCATTTTAAATGAAGCATTTTGGGAGTGAGGCATTTGACCTGAAATGAACGGATAGGTATGATTTTTTATCTGACTCCATTGTTTAGCTGTATTTTTAATAGGGTTCTGATTCTGACTGGTTAGGGTGGAGTGGAATTTGTGGGTTAGAAGTGGAAAATTGATCCTAATTGATCGAATATCTTGGGCAAGAAAGGGAAGAGGGATTTGCACCCGAGGGTCATAATTATTTGTGCAAGGGGCCATAAGGAATGTGAGATTACTTGAATATTGGGAGATTGAATTCGATGTTTAAAGGGAGCTCTCATAGTCAACGAGAGAAAACAGGATTACGAGCAACTATTGTTTGTTAGATTTTGGAGGTTTTATGTGTAGTTATACAACAAGATTTGTTTTTGAAAATTCTACGGTCTTGGTGTGTATTAGAAACTTTTTTGATTTTTTTTTAAAATTTTAAAATATACCAAACAACTAGTCAATGTAATAGAAGGGCTTGGGGGAGAAGCTCATACCTTGCGATGCAAGCTGTGCTTGAGGTGTGTTGCTCAAGGCTCAATGGAGGTAAAGGTTGCGTGCAGTGTTACTTATACGACACTTTGGTGTAGGAACCAAAGCGGTGTAAAATGCATTCATGATTTCCCATGGGCTTTATTTGAAGAGGACATAAGTAAACAATAGCCATATCTGGCAAATTGATGTACTTTTTTTAATCAAAGTAAATGCCAAAATGATATACTCCCTTCGTTAAAAAAAACCCGAAAGGGTTCGGAGTAGGAGAGTCTCGTTGATTTGCTTGACACATACATCTTGGGTGCAATTTCTCATGATTTCTGTTGAAAAGAGGACACAAGGTCAAAGGAAATTGTAAATTAAAGATGGATTGACACAAAAATGTTAAATTGTTGAACAGCTTCGTCTAAACTTCTAAACTGGTAATGAAGATACACTTCCATTTAATTATTTTTGGTGTGCAGCATGCCAACTCACGTGCATGCCTGATCATTTCAGCCGAAGTATGTTGAAAAATTTGGTAAATGGGTGGTGGTTAGACTTGAATCTAAGAGATCAACTTTTTACTATATTGAACCATGTGAATTGTTTTGTCTAAAAGTTTGCGCTATTAGAGATGCAATACTTTTATTTATCTACTTATTTTATTTGTGCAACAAGAAGAAAAGGAAAAAGAGGTTTATGGAGATCAACTATTTGATATTCAAGCGGAAATTTACGGGCTTAATATTGCTTTTGAATTACCTTGGTGATTTTTTTTTTGATGTCTGGACAATTCAAAACTAATTTCAACGAGTTCCAGCGATTATAGAATTTAGGATTTGGTGGCTCTTATCTAAAGCTACTATTAAAACTTCTCCATCCTTGTTAGTAAGCCTCTGTACATTAGTCGCCTTATCAGATCTTTGTTTTAATGATAATCCAGAAACTCCCAAGGGTCTGTGACACATGTTTGAAATCCATAAGAGACTGGATTTTTTTTGCGCCTGAAGTGTCTTTTCATTTTCTTTCCCATTCTGTTATCGATTTGAAATAAGTACATTTCGGTATCTGAAGGGTTGCCTAAAAGATACAGTCCCTTAGAGGGGCAATTATTTGCTACATTTGGATATCAGGCTCTGGTAAGTTATGTTTTGGCTACTTATGGTGGTTGGAATCCTTGAATGTTAAGAAAATTATTGAGAAGGGGCTAGAGGTTTCAAAAGATAATTTGGAGCATAACTATGCATAGTTCTGGAATATGCACAATTTGAGAGTTGCATAACATGTTAGGAACCATGAATTGGGACTTCTCATTCCTGTAGGTAATTTTCTAAAGTTTCTTGCTATGACTTGTTTAAGGTAATATGTATGATTTCTGGTTCAAATCCAGCGGAGGCAAAAATATTACTCCCTCCGTTTTGTTTGGGTTTGACTTGGCACATAGTTTAAGTCTTTAAGAAAGTAAAGAAGGGTAGAGGGGCGGGCCCATTATCCACCAAGTTTAGAAGGCTGTGATTGGTCCAAAGGGCGGGTCACAGACGGATTTCTCGGTTATCAAAAAAAAAAAAGACTTTTGAATCTCGTGCTCTTAAACTAAAGATATGTAGAATGTACCAAAATGTCCTTTAATATTGTGATCTTAAACATGCTATGGGGAAAGTTGAAATTAAAGAATTGCCAAAAAAGGAAAGAGATATTCTTTTTTAAATGGACTAAAAAGGAAAGTAAAACAAATAAATTGAAACGGAGGGAGTAGGTAATTTCTTCTCCTCTGTCCAAGCCTTGGTGGACGGAGTTACCCGGTACTTGCATTGGTGGGAGGTAGCAGGTGTACACAAGCTGGCCTGTAAGCCACAGTTATAAAAATAAAACAAAAATAACATTGTGGAAATATAAGGTCAGATAGACCATTGATCCCATATGCTTGTTTCGATTGATGCAAAGTCTGCAAGTGTTACTGTTCCAAAGATTTGATCTGGCGCTTTTAAAAAATAAAATAAGAGGGAAGGATAGATCTGTGGACAAGTTTCTCCCTATATCACTTCATATCTTTAATAGTGCTGGAGCAAGAAATTGTAATTATTAGCATAGAACTGCTATGGGTAAATGTAATACTGTGAAATTAATGTATTCAAAGCAATATCTCATGTGTTCAACTTCTGGCCATTTTTTTTCTTCTTGAAGCAAAACCTACGCTCCCAACAAATTTTGAAGAAAATACTTGGGCAACTCTGAAGTCAGCTATCAGTGCAATATTCTTAAAGCAGCCTGATCCTTGTGACTTGGAAAAGCTTTATCAGGTTCATTTTGTAGCAGTATTTACCTTCTAGTGCTGTAGCATAGCTTCTATATGTTAATTTATTGACTTTACTGTGCTTAGGCTGTCAATGACCTGTGTCTGCACAAGATGGGTGGAAGTTTATACCAACGGATTCAAAAAGAGTGTGAGGCACACATAGTTGCAGTATTGCAGTCCTTAGTTGGCCAAAGTGAAGATCTCGTTGTTTTTCTATCACTTGTTGAGAGGTGCTGGCAGGACTTCTGTGATCAGATGTTGATGATACGTGGTATAGCGTTGTTTCTAGATAGAACATATGTGAAACAAACCCCAAATGGGCATTCATTGTGGGATATGGGTTTGCAGCTTTTTCGCAAACATCTTTGTCTAGCTTCAGAAGTAGAACACAAAATTGTCTTTGGGCTCCTTCAGATGATTGAGAGTGAAAGGTAACTTAAAATAGTTCCTGGTTGAATTTTATGATTGGCAGTTTTTCCTTGTCTTAATTTTTTTTTGATATTAGATAACTGTATTCACACCAGAAAACCTATCAGGTGAAAACTGATGGGGTGGGATGTATAACCCCAAGGGGTATCATCGAGACCCAAATCTAGACAGGAAACTTTATGATTGTCCTATGAAAACAACTAAACTATCTATCTCCCCCACTATATCAAAAGACATAGAGCCTCATGCCCAGCTTATCTCTTTGAGAAGTAGCTTCGGTCATATAAGCTCACATGTTGCTAAAAGAATTGCTAAGTATTCTGCCTCTACACTTGACCTAGCCACTACATCTTTCCCTTTTCTTTTCCAAGAGTAGATTTTCTTCAATTAAAACTCTGTTTTGAAGTGGACAGTATATTAGGAGAAGATCCTTCTAAATCTGCATCAAAATATGCCGTAGTGCTTGCATGTCCCCTATCCTCGTGTAATAGACCTACTCCAGACGAGTCTGTAATATACCTTTAGAATTCAAGTAGCTGCATTCTAAAGATTGTCATGGACTCATGGGGAGCTTGGAGAAATTGGCTGACCACATTGACAACACATGAGATGTTGGGTGTGATTGTAAGATAACTGAGTTTAACATTTGGATTCATAGGAGTATCAATTTGTTCATATCCAACATACTGATTTCTTCCCTTATATTAAAGGCATACTTCCTTTCTGCAATGGCAACCCCACTACTAGATTTTACCAATTCAATCCCAAGGGGTACTTCAGCTTACCCAAGTCTTTTGTTTGAAAGTGACTGTCAAGATGCTGCTTAAGTTGGGTAATGTAACAGTGATCATTACTTGTTATAACAATGTTGTTAACATAAACAACCAAAATACGGTTTTTTTATCATGTTAGAAGATTTTTTTTTTTTGGACAAAGGTAACTGGTTTGTATATAAATCTTCAGCACTAAAGGCTGAGATCCCAAATTTACACCATGGAGCATACAGTTGAGTATACTCGACAAATCTTAGAAAAGAACTAGATCCTTCTTCATCTTACAAAGAACCTAGAATATCTGTATTAGCTATGGGATCATCTACATACTCAGAACTGCACCAATAGCAAAAAGTGATAATGCAGTTTATTTTAATCCTATGTAAAGGACTACTAATTCTCTCATTGCATCTCAAATTTCTCTCTTTCCATATGGTCTACCAATTAACTGCTGGGACAATTCTCCATCTGTTTTTGTCTGTACTACCACTACCTTCATTATTCCAGCTTTCTATAGCCTGACTTGTCCTTTCTGGCACGGTCCAACTTATGCCTCTGAAGCTGGTAAACAAGTTCCAAAGTTGCCTTTAATACTTAGGATAAGGTACAAGTACCCCGTAGACAATGACCGAAATCTCAAGACACACCATAACTAAACTAAGGTCCTATTACCCCTTGAACTCTTTTTTTTTTTTTGTAATTTTATTCACCTTTTGGCTTACGTGGCACACTCCGTGACTCTACTTAGTTGAGGCGCGTGGGAGATGTTTGGATGCCACGTAAGCCAAAAAGGTGTACAAAAAAAAAAGGGTTTGGGGGGGGGGGGGGAATGATAGGACCTTAGTTTAGTTAAGGTGTATCTCTGGGATTTCGGTCATAGTCTAGGGGGGTACTTGTGCCTTATCCCTTATACTTCGTTAGAAAAATGTTTATAAATCACAAAATGATTAGCCTCACTTCAAGATATGCCAAATTGTTGGACAACGGTGGTAAACGGCCAAATCATTCCCTCGGTGATTGCTCAAAGCCACGAAGAGATCGGCATAGTCAATGTTTTATCCTAGACACCCCTGAGATAAAGATAAAGAGACGAATTGATGCAACCTTGGACCATGGATATGAGTGTATCCCTTTCCCACTAGATTAGCTTTAAGAAGAGCAACCTTGCCCTCAGGTCCCATCTTAACACCCAACAACACTCCACTGTTTATTTGCTTTGTGATGAAAAGCTATCTTACAAAGAGCCATTATCATGAAGAGCCGTTGTTTCCTCAATTATAGCCTGATGCCAATTGATTAGAGTCTTAGACTGGCTGTCGGTAAGATGGTTGGTCGGATATGACCTCACTTGCTGGTTGGTGTTATGGCGACGAAGTGCTCTGCTGAGGTGTGATGTTCACAGGTTTCTTTCAGTGATGGGACACTTATTCTGTTGAGGTCGCCATTGGATAGGCTTCGAATATAAGTGAGGGATGATGGTCAGGGATCGACTACAAGTTGATAATTGAAGAACCAAATCTTTTCTTCACAGATTTTAGATTTATAGATTATTTTTTGGACTCTGAAAGGAGAAGTGTAGAGGATTAAGATAAGAAGAGCTTCTGAGAGTGAATGACTTGATTAGGTATCTAAATAGCGTTTACAGGAAATCTAATAAAGGAAAACATAGAGTTTCCACCCTCCATATTTACTGAACAATTTTTGGAGTTTATTAGTTCCCTTGTCTTAGATTGACTCACTGTAAAGGGATTCCTGTTTTTTTTTTTTTTTAAAAATCCAGTTTCTTTTGTCAGTTTCTCTTTCATTGTAAGTTGTAACTATTTATCTTCTTGATGCCCTTTTGTGAATGAAATACCTTATCTATAAAAAAACACTATTTTTTTTTAAAAACACTGCAAGCACTCTTTAGTGGGGTCCACAATAGATCATGTTAATGCATTTAAATGCCAACTCCTATAAGAATATCTTATTACGGGTAATATGTAAATGTAAATATTTAGTGTTTTAAGATGTAACGTGTACCAATAGTACCAATTTTATTTTATTTTTAAAAAGATGTTATGTGTACCAAGATTTTTTGGAACCGACAATAAAGGGAAGAGCACCAAATAAATTGGGACAAACGGAATACTTTTTTATTATTGCAACATTGTTATGGACGTCGGGTCTAACTCAACCCCAAAAGCTAGCTCAAGGGTGAGAATTGCCCAAGACCATATAAAGTGATCAATTTATCCTCATCCCACTGATGTGAGATTCAACACCCCCCTCACGCCTAGGGCTAAACATCTGGGGCATGGAAATTTGATATGGGGGCCCAACATCGGTATATCATGAAGTGGGATAGGCCTGACTCTCTGATACCATGTTATGGACCTTGGGGGTCTAACTCAACCCCAAAAGCTAGCTCAAGAGGTGAGGACTCTGCCCAAGACTGCATGAAGAGATCAATCTCTCCTCATCCCATCGATGTTGGACTCAACAAACATTTTAATGCTTAATTAGTAAAGTGAGGTCTTCAAGTTTCTTCCTTTGTTTATTTTCTTTGTTCATTCTGGTGTAATTCTTCCAGATTAGGTGAGGCAGGTGATAGAACTCTTCTTAACCATCTTTTGAAGATGTTCACTGCCTTAGGAATTTACGCAGAGAGCTTTGAGAAGCCATTTGTTGAGCGCACTTCTGAGTTTTATGCTGCTGAAGGTGTCAAATACATGCAACAGTCAGATGTTCCAGATTACTTGAAGCATGTAGAGGTGTGCTTTCTCTGCTTCCTTTTTCCCTATCTTTTTGTTTGACCTATTTTTTCTTCCTCATGGTAAGTATAATTCATTCAACCCAAAGAACTGAACTTACTGTTTTCATAGTCAAATGAATTATTGTCTGACCATGTTTTTTGTTCACGTGGATCTTCAAAACATTTTATTTGTACATTGAAATCTTTGGTTGGTTTCTCAAATCTACAAATGTGTTTCCAAAAAAAATTCTATTTGTGGAATCAAACTGTAGTTGGTCAATTTAACCTCCATTAACCAACCAGGTTATCTTTTTCTCATATAGATGGCATATATTATTAGTTTAAGATATTGTTATGCACTCGTGCCTTTTGATTTTGCTATGATCAAGTACCTGACTGGTCCTTTTTCGCCTTGCAGGTAAGGTTGCATGAAGAACATGATAGGTGCTTACACTACCTGGATGCAAGTACAAGAAAACCACTAATAGCAACTACAGAGAAGCAACTTTTAGAACGTCATATTTCTGCAATACTTGACAAGGTATTTATGCTGAGGTAACTGTAACAACTATAGAGTCAAGTAGGGGGATGCGGACAAAGTATTCTTATGGGAGGCCTGTAAAGAAAATTAAGTTTTAGATGAGTTCCAATGATGCATCAGCTTCAAAGTGAACAATGTAGATAAAGTTCTCGGAAACATTAACTGCGTGGTGTTAATTTCTTTTTCAAAAAAAATAAAAACATTAACGGCGTGATGTTAATTTCTTTTTCAAAAAAAAAAAAAAAACATTAACGGCGTGATGATGAGCATTTGAACAATTTATCCCTGGTGATATTAAACGTATCAATCCAGAAGACATGGTAGGTAGCATAGGTGTGAAACAAAGAGAGAGGACAAGCACAATAGGATGAGGTTAAGAAGGAATTCACATGATTGAGATGTTGTAGAATTCCAGTATTTCCTTTATAGGCCAAAGATATCATGGACATGTCAGGATTCCTGGAAATAAAATGGATAGAAAAACGAGATGTTATTAGGTCATTTTATTATAGTATATTGAAAATTATTCTATTGCGCAAAATTGATGAAAGGGGAGTCAACATTTTCCTATTGTTCAGTATGTATTCCTAGAGCACTTATTTCCCTTGACTAGTATAAGTGAAGCAATCTTCATAACTGAGGAAGTGAGAGGGAGAAGAAAAACATTGTTGGTGTGCAACAGTAAGAGCTGTTTTCATGTGACCAAGTCACAGGTTCAAGCTGTGGAAATAGTTTTTTGTAGATATGCAATGTAATGCTGTGTACAATAGACTCCATGTTGTCCGGTCCTTCCCAGGTCATAGCAAATAGCGAGAGTTTAGTTCATTGAGCTGCCCTTTTTTAGTGTGTAAAATTTAGGTGAAGATATGGGCCACTTACTTCTGCATTGCAGACTAGCACACCGTCTATGTGACATCACACTAAATGAATTTCATAAACAATTGGCCATGCCTGCCACTGTTTAAGTGAAGTATGGCTATTTAGCAATGGATTCAGAAGGAATAAAGGAGAAGCATGGTGTGAGAAGTAGTCCCTTTAGCACCCATGTGAAAATAATGGAGGTAAAGTAATAGGAGTGTCGTTGAAAGGAAGGAAAACTCTTTCGTACAAATAAGGTGGACATTCTATCTCCTTTTTGGGCAATTATGAGATTGTGGATAGCATATATAAGTTGAGATCAAAGACACCCATTTTTTGTTTAGATTCTTTACTTTGTCTATATCACTTGTATAGTAGGGACTTCCTCCACATATTAATGAAGTTATTACTTTACAAGAAGAAACTTTTCTATTCCCCATGTAGTTATGGGCTGCTGCTGCAATCTGTATGCTTCTTCTTAATTGTGTTTTTCATCTCCAGGGTTTCATGATGCTGATGGATGGAAAGCGTATTGAGGATCTTCGAAGAATGTATTCACTATTCCCTAGGGTAGAGGCGCTTGAATCATTGAAGCAAACTCTTAGCTTGTACATCCGAAAAAATGGGCAAAGCATTGTGCATGACGATGAAAAAGATAAAGATATGGTATCTAGCCTGTTAGAGTTTAAGGCATCCGTTGATACTATATGGGAAGAAAGTTTTTCTAAAAATGAAGCATTTGGCAACACTATCAAGGATGCGTTTGGACATCTCATAAATGTCTGTGAGGTACAGTTGTTCAGTTGGTAACACCTGCCTTGTTATATAGCTTTCCAACAACTAGCTCTATCCTTCACATATCTGTATTCATGATTATCTCATGCATTCTGTATATTAGCACTGCCGGTGTCACTTAGCGAGCTGCTGTCTAAAGGAATTTAAGTACTCCTGTTATTTGAAGTGAATGACCTATTATATTGATACCACACCAAAACAACTGAATGGAATATTTAACTGATCCATTCCAGATCGACTGAGTAGGTAGTGAAGTTGTAATGACTTAGGTGTTTGCTCAATTTTATTTACTCTGTGGAATACCTTAAATACATCCCAATGTCTGTAAGATTTTGGCAGTATGTTTTTTTTCCCAAAAAAGAACTAAAGAAAGAATGAAATATTTGTATCACCTCACTGAAATAATGCCTCATTTACCCTTTCTTTTTCCTTCTGATTTGTTGTTTCTGGAGTTGGCCGGGTTAGTATGGGAATGGAGAGAATATAGACCTAATGCATTATTTATGAGAATGATTTATCTCATGTGAAAAGGGTTGCTTGTATCATTGGGTTTTCCTTTCTCTCAGCCCATGTTTTAAATGAAGTACACGTGCTAGGACACTGTTATTGACTGCGTGTTCATTCCCTCATCTCTTTTCACGTGTTAAATGAAGCATACTGATCATGCCAAGGGTTGCTAGAATAGAGTTCTTGTATAATATCACTCCTACAAGTGGGTCCAAAGAAACCAAAGCTGTCGATGGTTTTTAGGAAAAAACAAAGTCTTTTCATCTTTATTCATATCTGTGCAAATCAATCAATCCATGCAAATAGGTGCACTGTTCTAGTTCCTGAGCTGCTGCATGTAGCCTGCTGTACCAGGCATATCTTAATGTGCTATCGACGGATTCCCTCACTCTTTTAACATATGGCATAAAACTTGAAAATACCTGAACCTGCATCTTATAAATTATCTAGAATTCTCGCTTCAGCCTATAGGACATGTCTACCATCTGGACAGAGCATCTTAACTAGGTCACATCTTTAAAGCCATGCTTGCGATATCGTAGTCCAGTAAGTTGGTTGTTCAACTTGCTTGTTCGATAAGATCTGCTATACGGGATTGTGGTAAATAGTAAGCACGTTAGATGCTCTAATCTACTTTAATAGATCTGCCATTCTGGGCAGTTTGTATCCTTTTCATACTTCTTCCCCCCTTGTAAATATTGTCTTCCTGGACCCTTTCTTTATTTGTGGTCGAGGGGCAGATTACTGTTGATGGTTATTTTTTGTTATACAAAATATATTCTGGTACACCAAAGTGCAGTATTTACTCAATTAATTTACAAAATTCATTGGATTATTTTGCTATTTACAGAATCGGCCTGCCGAGCTGATTGCTAAATTTCTGGACGAGAAGCTTCGTGCTGGAAATAAGGGTACTTCGGAAGAGGAATTGGAGGGTATACTTGATAAAGTCTTGGTTCTGTTCAGGTTTATACAGGTAAGAGGATACAATGAGCAGTAATTGTAGAGAACTTAAGGAATCTGTAGCCGGATTAGCCTGTTTATATTGGACAGGATTTGATACTTCCTGTATATCGCATATGTGAGATATTGCTTAGTGTATGCTATCATCTTTATGTAGGGTAAGGATGTATTTGAGGCATTCTACAAGAAAGATCTAGCAAAGAGATTATTGTTGGGAAAGAGTGCTTCAATAGATGCAGAGAAGTCCATGATCTCTAAGGTCATGTCTCTTATGTGTAACTTCTGCTTTTTCTTACTTGGTTTTTATTGCTGTATACTGAGTCTTTTCGTTATCGTGCAGTTGAAGACTGAATGTGGTAGTCAATTCACTAACAAATTGGAAGGAATGTTCAAGGTATGGAAGGATATATGCATCTCCCGTCATGTTTTTCGAGGTTGAAATATTAGTGGATCAGGGGAAATAATTTCCGTTCCTGGTTTCTGCTCTGCCGAAAAGTGGTTTTCATTGAGCATCAGATAAAAGTCCATCTATCTTGGGTTCTCAACTGACAGATCTCTACTAGAATGTGAACATCTCATCTTGGCTTTAAATACGTCAGGTTCAGAATAACCTTTTTTTTCTTGAACTAGAATAGATATTGTTATAAAAGCGTGGTAAACTGAGTTCTGTGTACTAATGTAACTGGAAGGGTTAGACTGGTTACCCCATAGTTTACCAGAATAAATGTATCCTATAGGCTCTAACTGGTTTTATTATACCTATTCTAGAGGTCTAAAGTGTCCTTTGATATTGGATAATAAATTTGGTATTTTTCTAGATTTCATGTGGACTTGCTGGTTTTAATCAGTGACTTTGTTGTTTTAATCTTCGAACCCATTATCCAGGATATTGAATTGTCAAAAGAGATAAATGAATCCTTTAAGCAATCTTCTCAAGCCAGGAAAAAACTCCCAACAGGAATTGAGATGAGTGTTCATGTATTAACCACAGGGTAAGTTGCTTATCCCACTAACCATTCCATTACTTTTTCAAGCTGAAAAACTTTTCTCTTTCTTTGTTTTGCATTTTGATTGAATTTAAAACTCATTTATACTGTTTGACATGCAGGTACTGGCCAACATATCCGCCCATGGATGTTCGGCTCCCCCATGAACTCAATATCTATCAGGTTTTGCGCCAATTTTACTTTCCATTTAGGTCATCTTTGCGCCTCGAGTTATGTTTGTGTAAACTACACATGCCCTTATACTTGGATCTGTACTGCAGGATATTTTCAAGGAATTCTACTTGAGCAAATACAGTGGTAGGCGGTTGATGTGGCAAAATTCTTTGGGACACTGTGTTCTAAAAGCAGAGTTTCCCAAAGGTAAAAAGGAGCTGGCAGTGTCTCTGTTTCAGGTTTGTTTGCTCTTTCACTGAATGTATCAGAGATACTTATCCTCCTTCTAGCCAACTCTATCACATATGCAACAGATGTCTAAATCGTCTGCTGTTTTTTTGCCTATCTGTTCTTTCTGCAGGCTGTTGTTTTAATGCTTTTTAATGATGCGGAAAAGCTTAGCTTTCTAGATATGAGGGAAGCAACTCGAATTGAGGATAAAGAGCTCAGGAGAACTTTACAGTCTCTTGCATGTGGTAAAGTTCGTGTTCTGCAGAAGGTGGGTGGTCATTATTAATAGGTAGAGACTGTTACCTACTTCATCACCCCAAAATTAATAAGACGTATTTAGTTTTGGAAGGCCCATTTCCCAGCTTTTTGAAGATTGATTGGACTTCAATTGATTGGTGCATTGGAAACAAAACTAAGATAGTTACTCCATTCCAAAGTGAATAACATGGTTTGGACCGGGAGATTCAAACAGGCTATTATTTTACTTGAATTCAACATTGATACATTTTGAAAAATAAACTTTGTCGCAATCAGAAAGTTTACTGAAGTACTATAAAATGATATTTTTAGGAGGTAGCAAGTAACTGGTGGAATTAGTCGAGGTACGCGCAAGCTGGCCCAGACGCCACCGCATAAACAAAAAAGAAGCTATATTCAAATAAGTTGTCATGAAATAGGACGTAGTGAATAGAAACTATGTGAAAGGTATTACAATAGACAAGACAACAATATAATTTGAGTGTTTCTTAGTAGACAATTTTGTTGAATGTTTGAGAAGAATAAAATGATTACCCATTTTGAAATATTGAGAATATAAAACAACAACAACAACAACATACCCAATAAAATATTGAAAATATACTATCTCTTATAATGAATGTCGTTCTGGTTTCAACCTTTAGCTGCTGAAAAAAATAAGTTGTTTTACAGATTCCAAAAGGAAGAGATGTGGAAGACGGCGATACCTTTGTGTTCAATGATCAATTTACTACTCCACTCTATCGGATAAAGGTACTTTGAGAATACTAATGCTTCAACTTCTAAGAAAGAGAAGAACAATGTGAGGTTGTTTCAAATGATACTGACATGTTTCTTAAGTTAAAGTTTGATTGGTATAATGGGATTATTGGATTGCTATTATGCATAGACATATAAATGGTAATCCTTTATCCATGTGTACAGGTAAATGCCATTCAGATGAAGGAAACAGTTGAGGAGAACACAAACACCACAGAAAGAGTATTCCAGGACCGGCAATACCAGGTTTGCTTTCCTATTTCCTCCCCTCTACTCTTGTATGTTCGGTTGAACTTTCTGTATCCTGTTTTACCTGAGAAAAAGTTTGTCTTCTCTTAATTGGAGTGCTTCACAACTTTGTGTAATAACTAATTTGAAGTTGTTGATTGATATCTTTTTGCTTTTTTTTCCTGCTCTGATTTCCTGTTGGTAATCAACATTTCTGCTTCCTACCAGGCCATAGATAGTCAGGGGAAAAAAATCAGATTCCTTGCCTGGTCTTGGGCTGAAATCACTCTAGGAAATGATATTTTCTTTTTACATATAGGTTCTCGATATCAAGGGAAAATTTCAGACTAATCCTCTTTTTGGCTGTTGACATAATCTAGTCTTCTGTCTCCACTTCGGCAGGTTGATGCTGCTATCGTTAGGATAATGAAGACGAGAAAAGTGCTGAGTCATACCCTTTTGATAACTGAACTCTTTCAGCAGGTAAAGTTATTTCTTAACTTAATGTATCACAGATAATTTTTGAATCTTGTTTTGGGGAAATGGATCTGGTGCAAGCTCTGAAGATGCATGAACTCCACACTAGACTTCTAATTAAAACCTATCAGTTGTCCATATGGGTGTCTTGCCTTCCAATTGAAACAGAGGATTGCATTTAGTACCAGTACAAATAGTACTATCTCAAGTTCCTTTTTGACAAACTTCAATAAAGCAATGAATTTAAGTACATTTGGAATCATTTAAGTGTTATCAGGATACACCTCTATCATGTTCTCAAAAGTTTGTTGTGGTTTTTGAAGGCAAATAATTTATCAACAAAGCATAATAGTAATATGATGTTGAGGAGAAAACCTTCTATTTGGGGCAGAAATGAAGAACAGAAAATATCACTAGAATTATTAGGCTGGGATCCTACACCATGAAAAGGCTACTGCTCTTTGACTTGCAAAGTAGTAAATACCGTCATTACAGTAGAGTAGACAAATTATAAATTTCTTAAAAATGTACAACACTAATACTTAAGAGGAGAAACAAAAAGACCAAAACAGTTGATTGTCTTGCTGAAGTTCTGATTACTTTTCTCTACCAGGGTGTGCTATTTAACCCTCCATTTTGTTCCATTTGTTATAAATGTTGAAATCATAAACTCTGGATCCAATTGATTGTAGCTGGCTTTTGTATACCAGCACTAAAGATTGGACAGAGAGAAGATATAGAAATGTTGTCAATTGGCCTCAGTGGTTGATGATAATGTGAAATTCTAGACTATTTGATTAAGATAGGAATTCCAATTCATGTACACTTCAAACAGCGATACTACATCTATGAATGCCACACACACCGGTTGAGGCTCTGCTAGTTGATGTGTCAAATTTGTGATTTTCATAACTGAGCAAATCTTGTGGAACAAACTGCATTCGTTGCCACATTCTGATTTTGAAATGTTGGTATCTGTGGAGAATATATTTTAAAGTATTTAACATTTAAGTGTATTTTGGCTCCTCAGCAGTGCTTTAGAAACGAGCTACTCAGATGCAATTACTATAATATGGTAGACACATAGACATAGTTTGGTTGTGAGAATTCTGATCAATCAGAAGTTGCTAGTAATAATGCTTTGACATTCAAAGCGTAATTCGATGTACCATGTACTTACCTTTCATCAGAAAAAGTGCAATTCAGTGTACCATGGTTTTTCCGCCCCTGACTCTGTTACATATTTGTGATGCAGCTTAAATTCCCTGTAAAACCAGCTGACTTGAAGAAAAGGATTGAAAGCCTCATAGAAAGGGAGTATCTGGAACGAGACAAGAACAATCCTCAAGTTTACAACTATCTTGCCTAGAATGTTCATGGCATAAATTTTTTCTTGTAAATGACTCGAGTTGACTTCCATTCTCAGATTCAACTGTAAAGTTAACGTTTATTTCATATAGATATATGTACTCTTTTGAAAAACATGAACAAGTGCATCTTTCAATAGAAAAGAATGTGCATTATGGCAAAATTGTTGTCTTGCAGGTTTCTATCAGCAAGTAATTGAACTTTTCCGATCCTACCTTCTTTTTTTGTTAGTTAATACGATTATACCGGGTTCGAAAACATGAGATTTTTGGCTACGCCCAATCTGATTACTGTTACATTGCTTAGTCTTTCTTTCATAAGTAGTTCCTAGGATGTCTTCCCAAACCAGGTTAGCTGCATATATACTGAAGGAACTAAAAAAAAAAAGAAGCTGCTGTTTTAAAAAAGTTCTTTATTCCTTTCTTGGCTAGAGCATCTGCTACCTTGTTCTGCTCTCTATAGCTAACCTATGGACCTCCCAACCTTCCTATCAGCAATCTACATTCATTATATTTGAGGTTTCCATTATCATGCATTGTGATAACCTCTTTTAAAATAGCTTAGAGCTAAGGGAACAACGAGTCCAGGCAAAATCTTGTGGATAGAATACGCATCTAACTCAGTTGGTCCATACAATCAGAAAAAATGTTTTTGTTAGCTCAATTGAGATGTCTTACTCCATAACTTGGAGGGAACCATTGCCTGACAAATGGTTGGAGGTGCAAAATAGACCCCATTATTGATTGAGATCTTGATAAGGTGAATACCCACTCTATTCTTATTTTAATGTTGACCTTTGTACCAGTTAAGTGAATACAACACCAATATTTAAAAAATCTTTCATATGTTTAATCGAGTATTTCAAGAATGACGGTTTGGAAGAAGGTAACCTAATTAGAAATTCTGATTCATTCAAAAACGTCAAGAATCAAACAACTTCAAAGCCAATATCCGAATTTCTCAACAAACTGTGTCATTCTCCTCTTATAATTATACATAAAAAAAAAGAACATATTACAATATAGGAAAAGGCCAACACCCAAAACACAAAAGCATCTATAGTTCGATTTCCCCTTGTAAAGGGGGGCAATACAATCAAGCAAAGTAGGAAAGAAAAAAGGTAATGATCAGACAATTTTGACGGGAGTAGAAGAATCAGAACCCAGATCGGAGTCTTGAGGTGCGTTTGCAGTTAAAGGTGCCCGGATACTGTCTTCATCATCTGGGTCATAGTCAGGATTCAGATTCTGATCAATGGCTTCTCGACCCTTTTCAAGACAAGGCTTGCAAGCCATTTCAATGGTGATCCAACCGAGAATTACGCCTGCAATTGCTATCAGTGCCGTTGTTAATGCCCCCATTGCCCTGTGACCCCTCAATCCCTATCTGATATTTCAGATTTGACAAGTGAAGAAGAAGAGTTCACCCGTAAGAGCAACTCACGCAAAGTATTTCTTTGGTCCAGATCCAGAATGGGTCTTTGTTGGCATTATTTACCCTGATTTCTTACCATAAATATATTTTTTCGTTTAGGAATATGTTTTAATATTTTAATTAGTCCTTTTCTAGTAGTAAAAGTTTATGACTCTATAAATATAGATTTGTTCATTCTAACTTAATTAATAATCACAATGTAGTCCTAGGGTTTTGAGAGTTGCGGTTATGGGGGAGAATTTTGTGTACCTCCTTGTATTCTGAGTGAATTGGTTGAGATTGTTTCTCTCTATATTTTATACTCTCATATTTATAGTGGATTACTCATCTCCTTTGTGGATGTAGGTCGATTGACCGAACCACGTTAAATCTCTCTCTTTTGGTATATTTCTCGTTTGTCTTCTTATTCATGGTCTTTCAAGGTTTGCTTTGCTAGCTTCCGCATTGCACCTGCTTATTTTCGATCCTAACAAGTGATATCAGAGCACATGGTTCAATGATCAAATGATTGAACAAGAGTGAAGACAGGTTCAAGTGGTTTCAAATCAATTTGCAACAAATTTGATAATAATGAAGATTTTTTGTCCAGCTACATGTGGAGAAGAGATTTAAATCATATTTGCAACATTCCTGTTGCTGCATTTTTGAAAATAAAAATAAAATATTTTAAAACCATTTTTAACCCATATATTTTAAACCTTATTTTTAACCATGGCAAACAACAGTGATGAAGATTACGTGAAGAACAAAGATTATCATGCAGTGAAGAAGGCGGATCAAGTTTTGTCAAGAAAATCCAGCCAAAAGGGGAGATTTGTTAGGGTTTTGCCCTGATTTTTTTACTTTATTTGAAATTTATTTTTTCCTAAAAGAAAAGACAAAACGTTACAATAAATGTTTTTAATTTTCATGAAAGGAAAATATATTTTTCTTCTATATTTGGTTTATTCTTTTCTTGGAAGAAAAGTTTGAAACTCTATAAATTAAAGACTCCTCTTCTCATATCAAGAACAAAACAAGATAATCCACAATGTAGTCGTTTAGAGACTTTTGTTTATGGAGAGTTTTATTCTCTCAACAATTTTAAATTTTTTTTTATATTAGTTTTCATATAATAATATTTTAATTTTTAGTATAAGTTTTTGTTATCTGAATTGTCAACCATATGATTCACAATTGTAAACTTCCGCATGACGCCTAATCACTTTCAAACCCAACAGTGGTATCAAAGCCATGGTTCAATGATGGAGCCATGTTAGAGATGGGTGTTCATCTTGGCGGGTGTAGTTCTAGCCGCAACCTTTTTGACAGTAATGAAGATCTTTGTTGGACAAAACACTTTTTTGGAGTGAGTAAATGTGCAGGTTCTTTTTTTTTTTTTCCTATTCGGTGTTCGGTACCATATTGAAGTTCGATTAAATTTAAATTCGCATTGAAAAGTCTCATATTGGAGGTAAAACACTCACTAAGAAAAACGACTTCGTATCCAAGGAGACTCAAACCCGAAGCCACTTGGTTAAGAATGAAGGAGTATTTACCACTCTAAATTTTAATTAGTCTAGATTATAAAAAGAAAAAAAAGAGTAAAAAGTTACCAAATAATTGTCTCAAATTGCTTCAATGGTGTTGATGGAGAACGAGGTGAAAATAATAAGGACAAGAAAGCGGGGAAAGAATCCTAAATAAACTCCTATAATGAATGTAGAGTTTAAGTTACCATATAATACTTTTTTGATATTTTTATTTAACTATTAATAATATGTGAACATATTAAAATAAATAAGTATTTCTAACAATGAGTGGAGTTATTTTCTTGTCCACTATCCGTAGATAGAAGTTATTCTCTTTGAAGAGAATATAAAGATGTAATTTTTATTTATTTTAGTCTTGTATCATACAACTCTTTTTTAAGAGATGGGAACATTCCCGGCGAAAGCCGGCCTCATATAGTCTGAGATAATGAGATTAATATTACAAGTTATGATACACAATAATCTGCTGTAAATCATAATCAACTACATACTTAGATCATCCAGTTAAGCCCTCATTTAAGTTCAAATTTTTCACAGAATTTTTTAAAAATATTGTCATGGAATTCTTTCTCTTTCTTCTTCTTGAGCGTCTCGATCAGAGGGCATGAAAATAAATTTTACAAGTGATCATTAAGGCGATCTCCAATCAGATTTATCAGACTCTACTTGGGGCAATCACTTGGTTTGTTTAGTGGAAGGCCCTCTGAATATTCGGACGTTCCTAGTTAGGTTTGTGTCATTTTTTAGCAAATATTTCATTCGTTTTAATTTATTTGACATATTTTGACTTAGCATGAGGTTTTAAAAAATAAAAAAGACTTTTGAAATTTATGATCTAAAATTAAATATATGTCAAATGTACCAAAATGTTTATGGTCTTAAACATGTCATAAAATGGAAAATTAAAACTAAAGAGTTGTTAAAAAAAAATTAAACAGATTAAAAAGGAAATACATGTCTATGCAGATAGACAATAATTGTCATAAAATTTCTTGCTTTTGCAAATCTATTGAGTTTTTATGCTTAAACATATACGATACTTCAATGCGCCATAATTCGTGCCTATGTTCTTGTGATAAGTTTCACACTGCTCATAATTTTTTACTAAACTCCAAATTATTTGTCTTTATTTCTGTGGATTCTCCTATGAATTATTATTCAATTCAGTTATATTACTAACCTATTTAGCCGAATCATGATTAACAACTAAATAATTACTGATTAATCTAACCACGCAACAACGTAAAAAAATTAAATTAATTATTAGAGCAAATAACAAGTAGACAAATGACACAACTCTCTCCCCTCATTTTCACGTCTCAAATACCTGTCGTTTTAACTTTTTACACGTCTATTAAAAAATCAAACGATAATTAAAATGAAACGGAGGGAGTATCTATCATATCATTATCCATATATACCCATCATCACAATATTAATCAAAAACTAAAATTTTCAACAGTATATGATTGACATGTTTTTCACAAGTAAAGACGTGGCATGACTTGGCTGCCACGTAAGGGTAAATTTAGCTGCTGATTGGGCCCATGAAGGGAGTTATAAGCGTACATTTGTAAGGCAGGGAGTTAAAAAATTAGTGCAATGTTTGGGGAAAAAACAGAAAAGGGTCCACAAACACAATGATATGCATAATTTTGAGATGATTTTTGTAGGTAGAGAGGGGAATTACTTACAAGGTTTTGGATTTATGATATCACTTGTGAAAATAACATCCATCTATCATATCAAATTGCAATCATAATTTAATCAAACAAATATAAACAAGGTATCTGATATACTCTTTTTGTTTTAATTTATTTATCCTATTTTAATTTGTTACAGAGTTTTATAAAAAAGTAAGAATTTTTTTTTAATATTATGGTAATATGTATCAAAATGTTCTTTAATGTTATGGCCTTAAATATACCGTGTGAATAGTTAGAACTAAAGAGTAAATAGTGGCTAAAGAGGGAATGGTAGTTTATTTTCATAATGGATTAAAAAGAGAAGTAAAACAAATAGATTGAAACGGCCAAACGGCGGAGTATTTTCTTCTGTAAAGCATGCAATATAGTGTGAAGAGTGTCATGCATTCATTTGGTTTTGTGAGATGGCTTATGCAATTACATTTATTATAATAAAACTTAAGAAAATACGGGAAAAAGAACTTTATTTGTTGATAAGGCTTCCAATGTATGAGGTGTTTTAATTAATGAATTCGTGTGGTAAACTCAATCATATGTGTATTAGTGTATAGTCATTTTCTCTCTTTTGCATGAATATCTTTCTTCTGCTGGGGTGGGGGTGTTGGAAAACTATATGCACAGTGAAAGCATATCAGAATCATACAACTTACATGAATAATAGACAATACGTTGTTTATGCTAGAACAAGTATAATCATGTTAGAGCATATAAACTTTATGAAATTAATATCAGAATTACCTCTTGAAGCGTGAGCAGATACCTACAAGTGAATCCACAAGCTAGTCGACAAGCTAGAACATTCAAGCAAATCCACAAGCTAGTCCACAAACTGGACCGCAGTTCTGCGATTTTCTACAGTGATCCCAAGTTTACTTCCGAACCCACTCAATACTTGGGTGGACAAGTATTTTATAGAAAAGTTTCCTTCTTTCAATAGTTAGAAAAATCCCTATTTATAAAGATTTCTTCCTAGTCCAAGGAGAAGGAATACCATGTCTTTCCTTAGAATAGAAAAAGACATGTACATCTCCCTTTCCTTAGAATATAAAAAGTCATGTCCTTCTACCTTTCTTTAGAATGGAAAAAGTGATATATTTCTCCTTGCCTTAGAATAGAGAGAGACATACTTCTCTCTTTCCATTTAGAATAGACTCTGAGTTCTAGTTAAATATGGGCATGGTAAGGACCACAAAATAAATTACTGGGGCTTCCTATTATGGAAATAATTCCAAATAATTAATTTAAATTATCTTACCATAATAAATTACAAATCATTCTACTAGAAATTCGTAATTGCACTCCTCTATTTATATTTCGAAACTCCTCATTAAACATATATGTAATTCCCCATGTTAAGATTAAAGATACTAATCAATAAATTAAATTACTGACGAACTTAATTCAATGATCAATTTCCTTTAGAGCAATGCTTAACTTATTTCATGTGCCGAATTCATAAATCCACTTGCAAGGTTTGACACGATGAAAACTTTTAAGCTTCTCAAAAAAACATATCATCATTCTCTATAACGAGACATGGATTCCGTCAACTAACTTATTATTTCACCAATCTACCAGGTATATTGACCTATCTTAGAATCTCACTTTTTAATAAATCAAAATGATAATTAACATATACAGATCATAATAGTTATATCAGGATTAATAATATAAGTACATTTAATAGTTTAGAGAATATGCTTTTGTCAGTCAGTCTAAAGCAACTATCTCTACTCGGTCCCGTTCAATACATATAAAATGCACTAGCACAAGAAGTTGGAACTATACCATTCCCATAATCAAGATAAACTACATATAATCTTGTGCTACAATCGTACCGATGGCATGTCCAATTCTCATCTTAGATTATGAACAAAAAGCTTTTAACTTATAAGAACCGATGATTTAATCATCTGTGTATAGGCTTAAACTCTATACACTAATTCATCTACTATATAAGTAAACATACACCATAAACGACTATATTATCTATTAAAAATGAATAAATAATTATTCTATAATAAATACTTTATCTAAACACATGGTTAATAGTATATATTCCAACAAGGGGTCCCTAGGGATGTAATTTGATTTAGCATGAAGTTTATAAAAGAAAGAATATTTTTCGAGAATAGTGGTATAAAATATATCATAAATGTTTGTGTGACTATAAAATTATTTTATTAAAAGTAAAATGAACATTTCAAAATTAAATTGTTACTAAATATAGAAATGTTCCATTTTTTTTTTGGAACTGACTAAAAATGAAAATAAGTCATATAAATTGAGACAGAATGAGTATCATGTATATTCGGAAACAACCTCTTTATATCTACGAGATAATGATAAGGTCTTTGCATACCCTACCCTCCTCAAATCGCACTTAATGGGATTTCATTGAGTATGTTGTTGGAGTATATATCATGTATATATTTGAGAAGTTAAAAGGCCAGGATCTTAATGGAAATTTTTTTAATTACGAAGGGTTTATACGTAACCATAATAATATCTCAATTATTATCAATCTTAAAATAATAGTATCTAGATTAATCATGACTCACCAGTCCCTTTCTCTCTTGTACATATTTTTCACTATAAATTCCCTCTTCACTTAGAATCATATCACTTGAACAAAATCTAATAAGTCCCCTCCACCAAACTCAAAAAATATGGCCATGCCTCAGCCAAATTTAATAGAAAACCCTATAAAACTTAGCAAATTGAGGAATAATAATATTAATATTCCTCAAAAAAGAAATTCAAGGTTGTCTTTTTGGGCCTTTGTTTTTTCAATTTGCATGTATATTTCCATCTTTTATATTTTCAATCTCTCCCCATATACTCTTATTAGCACCACAAACTTTTGGTTCTTTATTTCCAACACCCTTATTCTCATCATTGCTGTTGATTTTAATTTTGGCTCTAATTTCTCTTCTTCATCATCAATTGATCAAGAATATTCACTTCAAGAATATTACATGAAAATTTGTCAAGAAAAAAGTACTATTACTAGTTCTCCATCATTTAATTATTCTCCGTATACTATCGAAAAAATGGAGATTATTATTCCTTATGAAGAAGAAGAACGTATAAAAGACGTAGTTCATATCGAAAACAACAAACAAAAAGACGAAGAACAAATAATCAACATTATTGATCATAAAAATGAGAAGAAGGGTGAAGTGAAATTCTATCGGAGTAATTCAGAATTAAAAGCAATAATACCGGCGGAGAAAAATGAGAAAATTTTAAAAAGGATTCAAAGGTCAAAATCTGAGAGATATAATGATTTACAAGTAAATGGAGATGAAGAAATTAATGATGAATTTTTAGATATGTCAGTAGAGGAATTGAATAGAAGAGTGGAGGAGTTTATTCAACGATTTAATACACAAATTAGACTCCAAAGAAAACTCCAAACTTAATTAGGAGAAATCTATAAGTAGTGTACGTATTATAATTTGAGCTGTCTACTTAGCTATATACTTTAGTACTATGTTTTTTTAGTTGTTGTCATTCTCGTCGTCTTGTGCTATGTTCTGTTTTGTTTTTCCTTCCCTTGTTGAAGGTGTAGTTTTTTTTTTAATCGTAAGTTTACCTTATATTAGATATGAGCTTATAATTTGAAACATATACACAATGAATTCCCTATATATAGTTTATATGTTACTATTATTTTTGGTTGTTGTGTGTGTTCCATTTTATTTTTCTTGGTAACGAGTGTACGTAAAAACTAAGATTAATTCAGAAAATTTATATTTTGAATTCACCTTCATTTCGTTGTTATCGTGAGTACAACCTCCTTGTAATGCGACTAATACGTAGTTCTTATATTACATCTTAAGATGCATCGATTTATATATATCGTCTGCGATTTGCAATTTCAGTTCACTTACAATAATAATAATAATAATAATAATAATAATAATAATAATAATAATATTATTATTATTATTATTATTATTTATTCTATGTACTATAAATTAATGATGTCTTGTGGCGTTACTTTTGTAACGTGTCTATAAAAAAACACTATAAATTATTGAGATATAAGAGTAACGTAACGTGGCCATAAAAAACTAGCTATTGCAATTAATATTGTTGAGATGCAAATGCAACATGGAGTGGAGGGGAAAGCATATATTATGTCGAGCAATAATTATTTGAACAACTAAGAAGAATAGTGGACCAGCACAAGTTATGTTTCCAACAAGATTTCCATTTTTTTTAGTTTGAAAAATACGTTTGTGATTATAACGGAAGTTGCTAAGAAATGTTATTTCAATATTTTTCTAAATTATGATTGATTATAATATAATGCATGTTAATTGTAGAGACTTGTTCTAATTTTTGGAAGCAATGCATGAATTAAACTTACTATAACTTCTAATCACTCTCTCACCCTACTTGAGTTCACTAATTGAGGATCATCATGTTAATGTAGAGGTCTAATTGTAGGCCACACACTTGATAATTCATTTTCTTAGTTATGAAAATTTGTATATTGATTTAATCAACTAAATAAGAGATAAGATTGTGAAATAGTATTAGGAAGCATATATTGGGCTTACTTGTTATTGAAATTGGTCTTTAGAATACACTTGTTGGGCCTCAATAAGAATTTGGGAAAAATAAGCAAATACCCCATAAAAGCAAAATAATTACAAACATATACCCTTTTACATTCACATTCAACTAAATAATTACACTATATAACCCCATTTACTAATTTCGCTTAACTGATAGTGAATCAGTATCATATATACTGTATTTGTATCATTAAGGCTGATAATTTCGCTGAATTGATATTAAATCAATATATATATATATATTGTATTGGTATCATTAAAGTTTGTTGTTAAGAAATTACTCATTAGTCAATGATACTATAAGAATATACATATGTATTCTTATAGTAGCATTGACTAATAAGTAATTTCTGAACAAAAAACCTTAATGATACCAATACATTATATATATACTGATTTAGTATCAGTTAAGCGAAATTATCAACCTTAATGATACCAATACAGTATATGATACCGCATTAGTATCACTTAAGCGAAAATTATCACTCTTAATGAATGGGGGTATGGACTGTAATTATTTATGAGAGAATGGGTATTTCAGAAATTACTTTGGATTTGGATATGAACTTGTAATTATTTTAGATTTTATGGCCCATTTATGCAGTTTTCCCAAAGAATTTCAAGTTAGAAAAGGACCATTTTACAATCAAATCCGTTTGCCACAATTAGGCTAGAATTTCCACGCAATCACACTGGTACCAACATTGGAGCACGACTAAATTCGGATTCATCTCGAAAAATCTCACATCGTGGGTAAAGCATCCCTAACAAAGGTGACTTCGTATTCAATGAACTCAAACTTGAGACGTCTGATTAAGGATGAAGGAGTAATTATCACTCCACTACCATCCTAATTGGTCACAATCATATCATGTTCCCATGGTAAATCAAAGAAGTTAGCAACAAACACCTAGACTGAAATACTTCAAACTCCAATCACTACCTGGCCTACATGTTTTCCATCCCATCCTATTATTTCATGTTATTATAGTGCCTACAACACAGAAATTCGCGGTGGATAAGCCTACTAAAGAGATGAAGAAAATTGAGGATAAGCTTATTGAAAAGATATATATAGATGTTCCTATTAAGAAGTTGTCAACTATCATAATTCGAACTTAAATCTCGAAAATAAAAGAATCTCAATTATATCATCACATTATTTGATGGTAATACATGGCCTACCCGACAAGAGTTATAGTGGAGTGGTAAGTACTCCTTCATCCTTAACCAAGAGATCTCGGTTCGAGCCTCTTTTGGGTATGTAGTCACCTTCGTTAGGGAGTGCTTTACCCCCAATGTGGGACTTCCTGGTGCGACTCTGAATTTAGTCGAGCTCTAATATGGATACCGGATGAAAAACCAAAAAAATAAAAATACATGGCCTATATCACCAAAATCCGTATTGGGTAGGCCTACGTACTAAAGAAATAGGAGAGAGGTTCATAAAAGAAAAAAATGTTCAAAATAAGAAGTTGCCGACTATATATGAGGACTCAACCGTCGATCCAAAACCTTTCTTTCTTTTTGGTTCTTATGTGTTCAATATCTATATTAAAATTCAATTACTCTAGATTTGCATTGCATAGGATTTTATTCAGGGGAAATATTTTCTACGAAAGATTTTTTCATACCTAAAAGTTGAACCAAAAATATTTACTATTTAAGAAAGAAACAACTCCATTCACTGCACCACATTCTTGAACAATCGACCCATAACCTTTTAAATTTTAATTTTAGAAAGGGATGAAAAATCTTAGCAATCTCAATCACATCGTTTATAATGGTAAAATAAGGCCTACATAACCAAATATTCACCAACGGGCATTACAAAGATTGACAAAGTCTCTTACAACTTGTTTGGATAGTGGTTATATATTGTATCGTATTATATTGTTTTGCATTATTAATTTATTTGTTGATAAGGCTTCCAATGTATGAGGTGTTTTAATTAATTAATTCGTGTGGTAAATTCAATCAATCATATGTGTGTATTAGTGTATATTCATTTTCTCTCTTTTGCATGAATATCTTTCTTCTGCTGGGGTGGGAGTGTTGGAAAACTATATGCACAGTGAAAGCATACCAGAATCATACAACTTACATGAATAATAGACAACACATTGTTTATGCTAGAACAAGTACAATCATGTTAGAGCATATAAACTTTCTGAAATTAATTTCAGAATTACCTCTTGAAGCGTGAGCAGATACCTACAAGTGAATCCACAAGCTAGTCGACAAGCTAGAACATTCAAGCAAATCCACAAGCTAGTCCACAAACTGGACCACAGTTCTGCGGTCTTCTATAGTGATCCCAAGTTTACTTCCGAACCCACTCAATACTTGGATGGGCAAGTATTTTATAGAAAAGTTTTCTTCTTTCAATAGTTAGAAAATCCCTATTTATAGAGATTTCTTCCTAGTCCAAGGAGAAGGAATACCATGTCTTTCTTTAGAATAGAAAAAGACATATACATCTCCCTTTCCTTAGAATAGAAAAAGTCATGTCCTTCTCCCTTTCTTTAGAATAGAAAAAGTGATATATTTCTCCCTTGCCTTAGAATAGAGAGAGACACATACTTCTCTCTTTCCATTTAGAATAGACTCTGAGTTCTAGTTAAATATGGACACGGTAGGGACCACAAAATTAATTACTGAGGCTTCCTATTATGGAAATAATTCCAAATAATTAATTTGAATTATCTTACCATAATAAATTACAAATCATTCTACTAGAAATTCGTAATTGCACTCCTCTATTTATATTTCGAAACTCCCCATTAAACACATATGTAATTCTCCATGTTAAGATTACAGATACTAATCAATAAATTAAATTATTGACGAACTTAATTCAATGATCAATTTCCTTTAGAGCACTGCTTAGCTTATTTCATATGTCGGATTCATAAATCCACTTGCAAGGTTTGACACGATGAAAACTTTTAAGCTTCTCAAAAAGGCATATCATCAATCTCTATATCGAGACATGGATCCCGTCAACTAACTTATTATTTCACCAATATATATATATATATATATATATATATATATATATATATATTATCATCATCCAATCTACTAGGTTTATTGACCCACCTTAGAATCTCACATTTTAATAAATCAAAATGATAATTAACATATACAGATCATAATAGTTATATCATGATTAATAATATTATAAGCACATTTAATAGTTTAGAGAATATGTTTTTGTCAGTCAGTCTAAAGCAACTATCTCTACTCGATCCCGTTTAATACATATAAAATGCACTAGCACAAGAAGTTGGAACTATATCATTCCCATAATCAAGATAAACTACATATAATCTTGTGCTACAATCGTACCGATGGCTGTCCAATTCTCATCTTAGATTATGAACAAAAAACTTTTTACTTATAAGAACCGATGATTTAATCCTCTGTGTATAAGCTTAAACTCTATACACTAAATCATCTACTATATAAGTAAACAGACCCCATAAACGACTATATTATCTATTAAAAATGAATAAATAATTATTCTATAATAAATACTATATCTAAACACATGGTTAATAACATATATTCCAACAGATGGGTTCCTAGGTTGTGACTTGTGAGAAAACATTAATCTGATTAAATAAGAATTGATGAGTAGCAATTCAATTATAAACGGATACAATTAGATCGATCTTTAATTTTTATAATAACACTTTATTATAATAACTATGTTATATTATATAGAGGGAATGGTCTAAACCCCCCCCCCCCCTTCTCAATCTATACCCGAAATCCCAACTACACACTCCAACTTCACGGGTGTCCTATTACCCACCTGAACTTTATATTTC